TTATTCTTCAGTCGAATTCTTCTTCGCGTTCTTGTGTCATCGTATGATCTGAGGGGCCGTTGCCAATTTGCAAACCCATAGATCCTCTCTTAATTTCGATTTTGTGAGAACATCTGAGGCGCATATCTCGGAGTAGCGCTGAGGGAAGGATGGAGAATAACAACCATATGACTGGCCAGGCGCAGTGATAGGTATTCAGCAATCAGACAGAGCCTTTGGCCAAGATGAGTGCCTGCCGACAAAACTCTCGTCTTGGCGGCGGATTTGGCAGCCTCTCAGAGTCTTGGATTGGCGATCAACTGGCAAGACGAGACAGACCAAGAACGAGACGTGATTTTCGGGCTCGGTAACAGCCCGCCAGCCAGCCGTCAATGGCAGTAGCATCGACGCTAACAAACCGGGGGAAAAGAGAGGCAGGCTAGAGCCAGTCGTTGGTCTTTGTCGGTTGTGTGTCGTAACGAAAATCATTAGTGATGGCGCCGCTGGCCCGCTTCAGTGTTTAGCGTCCATGTTCATCCATCCTTGCGGTTGGGGACGGATAGATTGCTCCCCATTCGTTCTTGATGTCGGTAGCTGGGAGTTTTCCGTGGCTCCGAGTCCGACTTGCCCGTCCGTTGTTGGATCCTCCGTCATTGGGACCGGCCGAAGGTCTTGGCCTCTGCAGTTTTGCAGTCGTAAACGAGGTGCCATAGGAGCATTATTTCCCCCTATTTGCCTCATAGTGGCAAGATACAGTATCCGTAGTTGAGAAATCCTTGAGAGGAACTTTTGGTGTCTGCACTGTCGAGCACGAGGCGAGGGAAGATCTTGGCTAGGGTGATGATGGAAAGCCGCCCGTAAGCAAGAAGGAAGGCCGCCACCAGGCCCAGGGCATTCCATTCCATCTGGGACCCTCATCTCGGCGGCGTCGGCGTATTCTGCGACTACATGTGGCGGCACCGAGGTATGTACGGAGTAGGTATTCATAGACAGCGCCAACCAAGTGCAGTGCATGTTGACAGTTGGACAGCATGAGGTTGGCATGGCTGGCAGATGTGGTTATGCTTCCAAAGAGTCGCAACGGACCGGTCGACGCCGCAGTTACTCTGGGGTTGCGTTGCATTGAAGAGTCGGACGACGGAGCACTTTTGGATAATTAGCAGTGATGTGCAGGGAAAATGCTGCTTAATAACGCAAGTGTCGTCAACGTGCACCAACGCAACCCAGTTTTCCCTGGATGAAAAGTCCCTCGGTTTCTAGGCTGAGACAGGCGATGGTTTGTCGTTGATGAGGCACCGCACCCGGATCCGAAACGGAGGAGAGGGAGAGGGAGAGGGAGAGGGAGAGCCCAGAGAGAGAAGTAGTGAGGTACCTCTGTGCCTACCTATCAGATACGTACAAGTGAGAGAGTTCTGGGGTGGCGCGGCGCGAAGCGAAGAGGACATGGGCGATCAGCCTTCAGGTAGGTAGGCCACTCGATGCTTGAGTAGCGTCCTCGCCCTACGCAGAGTGATAGATAATCAGGACTGCCAAGGCCCGTATGGGTTCTCTCGTCATGTTCGGCTCGGTGAGGATGGTGGGAACGACTGGGTATTCGGAGAGAAGCTGAATGTCAACGGTGAGGTGTAAAGGAAGCAGCTTCATCTACAAAGTACATTGTAATTCCACAGTACAAAGGTACCTTACCTTCCACAGTCAACCATCATGTGGATGGTGCGAGGTACGTACCGAGCGGTACCGAGCGGTACCAAGCGACGAGACATCTAAGCGAGCTACCACCCAAGGCAGTCTAGGGGCGGGTGTCTCCTCGACGGGGAAGGTGGAAAGGCAACCCCTTTTCCTCTTGCACAATGCAGAGGGAGTCTCCGCGTGCAATTTTTTCTCTCTTCCCCAGGCTATCACACCAAGGTAAGGATAGACTCAATTCAATCTTCAGGTGGCCCAGCACACTCTAGGCTCTAGCAATGACAGCAGGCCGGGCGATTGGTCCGTCTGAAGCATCGGGGAAGATGCCGTGTATGGGTATCCGAGAGGGTAGCTGCAGGTCCCGTAGGGTGGCATCAAACCTTAAGCATGGGGATCGCGCTTGCGGGCTGGATAGGTAAAAAAAAAAAAAGGTTGCTCGTAATGCTTGTTATTAGAAAGGGTTTTTGTTCAGAACCCATGGTAATGACTGAGTATATGCATACGCCTACGCCTGTCCATCAAAATGTTTCTAGGGTTGCCAAGAAGGCATTCGTACGGATAACATTTGACATGTGGGAAGAGACATTGCCATTCTAGTTGTATCTTGGATCCCGCCGAACGCCGCCGTGCAGCGGGCACACCCCATCCTACCTTACTCTGGTTGAAGGTTGAGACATTCTGCACCCGATTACCATTCGATTATTAGCTTATTGCTCAAGGCAACTAGACTTGGGCCAGAAAACCCCACTGAGAGAGGAAACGAAAATTGCGCAGAAAAAAACTTGCGCATGACTATGTTGTATTATCTGCGACCCACGAAGACTGATTCCAGTCAGTGGCATCAGCCGCAACGCAACCCAGCTTTATGCAATACAACACCGCATAGCAAGCGAACATGAACTCCCACACATGCTCGCCTATCCGTGGTGGACGCTTGTGACCGAGGTAATATTCCGACTCGATCTAGACAGCAACCTGCATATAGACTGCCTGCACGGAATGCTGAGTACCGCAGACGCGAGACTCACGTTCAGCTGGTCCAGGTTTTCCTCTCCTAGCCTAGCCAAGCCAGCATCGTTACTTCATGAAGGAGGGCTGCCTATGTTCGTATTTCCTTGTCCATACGCGCGAAAGGACAGAGACCATATTCGTTTGCACTTACACGTCCGACTTCTTCCTTGCGCTAAAGCCAAGATCATGGACAGTGTGTCCCTATGGGTGTATGAAGGTCGCAGGACAATTTTGTCCGGGAAAGGGGATTTTACCCAGCAGAAAGATAGTTGCCTTACAGTTTCTTCAGACATACAAATTGATAAACAGAGCAGACTATGGCAGCGACCAACAACAACCGGGCAAAATTCAGAACAATGAAAGGTCTGAACTAGGGTACTCCGTAGTTGTGCAGGTTCACTCCGGAGCCGGGAAACCGGAAATCCCGGGGCATGTGTGCGATCTGAGGGCGGGCGAGACGGGTAAGGTAAAGTCGTCAGTGACCGGGAGCCCATTCCAGTGGTCGAGCAACGAGACACCACACACGTGTCCGGACGGAGTAGCGCGCCGATGAGGTGCTCAATCGTTCAATATCAGGAGAAAGGGCGTGAGACCGGCGACAGCCACTTTGGTCAGAAATGCCCCCACATTGCAACTAAGTCCCAATGAGGTAATGGTTTCGATAACCGCTAGCTAATAATCTCACCTCTAGCCCAAGACAATGATTGTGCACTAACACGGCAGTGCACGGGTGCCAGAGGATCACGGCCCCTCTGTGTCTCTTGGCAGAATAAGCGTATGTCAAGATCGTGACCCTTAGTAAAGCCGCGGGCGACTCTTATTCAGGACCTTGACATGGAATCTCACTGTCTCGATATTTAGTCAAGGCATACACAATAGACAAGTTGAGGGCCTAGGTTCTGGGCTAAACCACGACGAATACTAGGTAATGCATTTCTATCTACCTCACTTGCCAAGATACGCGATTGACATTCTGGGTTAAGCTCAAGCGCCTCTGGCTGAGACAAGAAAACATGGCTATTGAGATGATCGAGGCGTTACAACCATGAGTCCCAAGAACGATTGAAGATACTGTTAGGTAAGATACTAGGTAAGCTGGTGCTCGGTGGCTCGATAGCTCAGTGTATAAGTCATACTGGAGAAAGATCAAACCCGGGCGGGAAGGACCCTGACTCAAGGGGTGCACGTGCAGGAGACGGCAGTTAACAGGACGAAAAAATTGATAAAAGAAATGCGCGTTGAAGAATCGTCTAGGAGAGAGCAACTTGGAGCAGGAACATCCTACCTCTTTGGAGTGTGTAAGAACAGAGGTACCCGTACGAGTGATTGGCAAGTGCATGAAACAAGGACCCCAACCCTGCGCGCCTGCCCTGTTCGGAACGTGAGATGAAATAAAAGAGAAAAAGAGGGAAGGGCCGTCCAGGTTCCCGCTGTGCCTGCGCATTCAACATTGCCCCAAGACCTAACTCAGGTATCCGTGGAGTGCTACCTAAGTAGATTCGATCCCTGAAGAAGAAATCCGGAATTCTGGAATTTGTCGGTGAAACCGGGAGGCATGGTTTGGCGACAGGAAGGGGGGCCGGCAGGCGAAGGTGGCTTCCCACTCGGATCCATTGACGAGCAAGGAAGGAGGGAGGGATGGAGGATGAAGGAAGGAACCCTCCAAGCTCAACCCAGGCAGGGGAAGGGGACGCTTGCGGAAAGCTGGCTCATGAGGTACCAACCACCTACCTATCTACTTACCTTACATGTAGGGCACGGATAGATAAGGAAGGAGACGGGAAACTTTCAAGTTGCCCGAACGCCTCCCCAGTCCCCAAGCTCCCTTAGGTTAGGTTTGTAGTGCTTCTTGCCCAAAGTATCTTGATACTACCTAAAACCCTTGAGAAGTTGAGGCGGACTCCCGCTCGCTTCATGGGCTTGACTAACGTTCCTGCCTACTCGCGAAAGGAAGGCAACGTAATATCTCAGGATGAGGATTCAAAGGCGCCGACAAATCTTGGCTAAAGTTCTTTGCTACGCCATTAGGTTTTCGAGGCAAGGTACCTAGTATGGATACGGTCCCCGTACGAATACAGATGCAGAGTAATAAGGCAAGGTACCAACATGAAGTGTTGCCTACCAAAACCCCGGTCGCTGCTACCCTTGCGGACATCCTACGGGTACGGACACGGGGGCCGGCGGTTGACGATGTGGAGACCAACGTGCCCGGTGAGTTCAAACTTTGCAAGAGCACGGCAGTTGTGAACTTTCGTACACTACTTGTCTCCCCGTGCCGGTTTCCTTGTCATGATGGGAATAACGACACAATCTTCAGATACAACATGATCTATCCGTATTCTGTGCACCTTAGTGCTGTTGCATCGCCTGGTTGGTATACAACCTTCCTTCGCCAAGGTAACATACCTGATGATGAGGTATTGCTTGCTAGCAGATCGAAAGTTTCGGTACCTAGCCGGACTAGGACTCTGCCTTACGTAAGTTAGCTACGGAAAAAGTACCTTACGGATACCTTACCTTAACTTGAGGCAAGAACCATCACTGCTTGCCTGCCCGAGTTGCCCGCACAGGCCACATCGTGTCTTTCCCATTCCCAACGACAAGTTCCACTGGCAGATCCATCAAGACATCTCTTCCTATCTGTTCCATCAATACTCAATCTGGTGAGAATCTCCCACATCATAAAACCAATAACCACAAACGCAGCACAAATCTGGCACAATCACTCATCGGGATCAATTGACTGCCCACGCTCGGCTCAACTCCTGTCCCTTGCCCATACCGGCCCCCCTACTAGTCAACTTGCTTCGAGAAAGAAGGAGAGACATGGCGCCAGGCGCCTAGCCCCCCCCCCCCCCTTGGCTGACAGCAATTCCCAAGGGACTGGAAATGGTTGCATGCACCTCAGGACATACCCCCTCCTTTTGGTATTGTCTCCAGACCCACGAGTCCAAGACGCCGCAATGGCAATTTCCCCCTCCTTCGCTCTCCATCGCCCTCTTTCGCGAGCAGTAAGTTCCAATACGGAGGACACATCCAACATGTTCAGGGCCACCTTTATCCAAGCTATGCCGAGACCTCGATGCTCGCTCAGCCTGCAGGGCTCAGGAGCCTGTCCGACAAAGCCTAGGCCAGCCCACTACTGCGTACAACAGACAGATCACAGAGGCACATTCTTTTACCGATGCGCATTTCAAGGAGCTAATACCAAGCTTGTCATGGATGGAAATCCATGGCGTTCGCCCTGCTCGTCTGGAGGTCCCATACCAAAGGCAAAAGGGAAACCCCCTCGATGCGCTCGAATCGATGGCGTATCCGTACGAGCACACTACAGAGGCGCAAACACTGTGAACCCTCCCCCGGAAATGGGTCTCGACACTCACCCGACCGACCTACGAATACGCTGAAAGGGTGCGATATATCCTAGCTTGGGTTCGTGGACCGCACAATTGGCATCCACTCAGCGGTCACTCCATGTCGACGGTCGACGCCAACGCCAACGCCAACGCCAACACCGGCAAACCCGCGACCACCATGGCACCAACAACACTACCTCACCCACACCCGCGCCCAGGATCACTACACGCTAGCTGTTACGACGGGAGCACTGCAAATTGAGAAAGGTCTCTAGCCCACCTCGTCTTCGTAATTCGGCAAACGAGAGAGTCCGATCAGCCCAATCGCCTGATTAGTGCTCCAGATTAAATGGAGTCCCCTCTGAATCTGATCCTCGCAACATTCTTGGCCCTGGGCGTCTGCCGAGGAACGACATGGAATTCGACATTTCTTAAAGCCGGACAGCACCGGATTTGCAGCCGCGCCCGGGGCTCGCTCACTCACTCGCACGAGATCAAAGGGCGAGATCCGCTGTGGGCTATTGCAACCACGGCTTAAGGCTCTTTTCGCCTAGCACCCGCCTGCCAATGCACCGCTCCACCCTCGGCACTCGAGAAGCCGCCCAAGCGCCTCGTAAAATGCCGTGACAAGTCCCGGAGATGGACCAGACCACACCTTATATCACCCTGAATCTCGTCAAAGTCCCGAGACTCGGGTTGCGCCCGTTGCTCGAGGGCGCCTCGGTCACTCACGTTGATTACGCCACTCGTTGAACATCTCCCTTCACGAGTCATGTTTCCGCGGTTTCACCATTCTGACTTGCTCATCATCACTCGGAACGGATGGTGTTCCCGAAGCCTTTCCCCGCCTACCGCCCCTTCTCTCCAGTGAGGCTTGGCGAAGGGCTCATATTTTGTCATGTTCGACAGCATCGCAAAAGTCCCTGAATCATATCTCGCCCACCCTCCGGCCGAGAGACCGTTGATAGGGAAATGCACCGGCTTTGCCGCGCGAGAACAGACCCATCAATTGTCACGTCAGTTGGCTCCTCTTCCTTCTGCCAGACCCATATGGCGGCCGCTCGCGAAAAGCCCCGCGGTTTTTGTTGTTCCGATTATACGAAGCCTAGGGAAAATCCTCGATCAATTCCTGCGCAAATCCCACCGCATGACCATTCTGTGAGCCGAGGCCATGATGACAATTTTGTCAAGCTCGCAACTCACTCCTCGAGAGAATCTCATCGAATATCTTGGTCAGGAATGTGATGTTTGGCTTATGCGGCAGATCACCACAGAGGATTTGTTCGCCATATTATGTTGCTCAACCGGCTTCTATGACGATCTTATCGATGACGGTCCACTGCAGTTCTTAACGATGCAAGCTATGATGCTACGCAGCCGGCCATAGCCCATGGAGAGCACTGGTCACACAGCAATCCAGGATGTGGGAATCTGTCACTGTTAGAGGTGTGACGGGGCAACGGCAGTTCTTCATCACTAATTCCTTATTGATGCGTCGGTCCAGGGGTCTCTCATTGACAAGCCTCAGCCCTCTCGACTATTGACAGGGGCCTTCTTAACAAGATCGACAAATTAGACTTGGTCCCCTCGGGGCAAGTGGCTGGTTCTCCCGCCCGAGTAGGCGTTCATCTAGAATACCGCAAGTTTCAAGCAATTACCCAACCAAAGAAGGCAACCACAGCGACCAATACACCACTTTTGTTTTCTGGAATAAACGCCGTCCCACAGCTTCCGGTCCGAATAGACAGAGCAGGAAGCAAATATTCCTTCTCTATGCGGAAGTATGGTCGTTCTCAAGCCAACGCCTCATTTTTCTGCGGTAAAGAAGACATGGTCCGCCGTATACAGCGGGTGATCGAAGATTCTATCCGTCTGGCCATCCAGGCACAACTAGAGCCCGCCTTGCGGCCGCTGTTCGTGACTCATGACTGGTTCATCGTTCGGAGGAGAGGTCGTCCTCACCTCAGTGTTGACCACAAGCAGAAGTACGGATAGTAACTTGTAAGAGTTTGACCCGTTTGCACAGACACTCGTTGCGGATGGGATGACAGCTGTTCATTCACTGCAACGCCGCCGGAATCACCTACACGATGCAAGGACCATGCCAGTATTGGCTGCAAAAGGGCAGCGCTAGCTGCCACCAGGAGTCCCTCTGGCTGTTCTAGAAACCTGCGGACCTTCTGCGCGCGCACGTCGCATCCCATACACAACAAGCAGGGTTTACTGCAGGATTCAGGTCGATCTGTGGCTTGAGGCGTGACAACCGACCGACTTCCTTTTCGAGCTTGCAGCCCGATTCTATCTTCCGGTTGGTCTCCAGGCCGGACCATCAATCGGCCGTCATGCTATTCCGTTACGCACGTATGAGTTTCACGACCAAAAGCCGGCCAAGTATAGCTTACTATCAAGTACACCGGACTCAAGCCGATGATGGCGGGGGGGAAACGTGGCATTTCATCGTGGAATCGCTTACCAGTACACGTCTCGGTATCATCGCGCTGGGACCTGTTGTACGAGGCATCTTGTTGAAACCACCTCAACTACCTGAGGTGTGGTGACAGAGAAACATCGCGCAGACACTGGCCTTCAACACACACCGCGCCGCAACGGTGCATCTGCCCTTGCCCTGCAATCAGGAGCAGAGTGCGCTCGCTCATCTTGTTGTCTGCTGCATAATTCCAGGGGCCGAATCCTTTGTTCAAACCTGTTCTGGAGTTTGCGCTGGTTTGAGCAGGTGCATATCACAAGTCCATCAGCTGGCAGCAAAGCTGGATGAGAGGGACTTTTCTTACTCCGCATAGTTGGCTGCTACTTAAGATCAGTCCCTTTGGCCTAGCATGAGCAACCCGCCAATGGCTGTGTCATCACGAGAGTTAGTACTCTCCGAAATGCTGAGTCCCAGTGCCGGCATTCAACTTGACGCACGACTTTCCCCAACAGGCGCCATCAAACAAACTCCAGTGGAACTGGATTAAGGAGCCACGCTTCAGCAAACGGTAGCTATGTGGTTATTCTGAGCCGATTAATTTAGCCTGTACAACGGTTGCTACGATAGAGGCAACACTTGGGAGAACTAACGGCTTGTCTTTCCCATATTTCCAATAGGGTACGATATTTTCGCTTCACCTTCCTCAGTCCTTTGTATTCGCTCAATCACAGAGGGCCATACCCTTGCGTGGAACGAGGTTGGATCTAGTTAGACTCGGCATTGCGCTCCGTCCAACAGCCAACCCTGCCCAACTCAGGTCGACATCCCGATGGCAATCTTCGACAATGGCTGCCGCTGAACGGTTTCCCGGGAAGGGCTTCTCCAAAATTCCTGTCACCCTGTCTTGTTATTCCCCACATCGTCGTTAGGCAGCAGGATAACGGGATGCCGCCATCACCACCCATCGAGATTAACCACGGTATGCTGCTGATCATCTGAGATGGGATCAGCCCGTTCAACGTTGAGCGTTTGTTCGGAGCTCGAACGCACGACGGTATCGTAATATCACTTCTTGCTGCCTTGATCAACAACATGCATCTACTCGAAACGCAAACTCGGTTAGAAGTCACCGTGGGTTCCGGGCTGGAATCACCGCGACCTACACCCAGCGTACACAAAACTGACATGTCAGCATCATCCGAAAAGCCCCTACTAAGCTTGGCCATACACCCCCTTCGCGAACGAGCCGACCATGGGTGCTGAATTCGCCGACGCCCCACTTCCGCCTGACTTCCGGTGGCTGCTTAGCAGGGGCAAAGTTCACTGTAACCGTCTCGACAGGTCGGCAGTGAAAAGACGACCAGGGCTGTCACAACTGTAGAAAGTTTATCGCCAGAATAATATCTGATGAAAAGCAAAAGGAACGGCACACACTCTGGCGTTACAAGGCTGATCCAGAGTGTGCCGTCGACTGACGTGCGGAGAGAGGTGCTTCCAATTCGGCAGATGGCTCAGCTACTGTGTACTACGTACAGGCAGACAGGCAGCATCAAGTCAAAAGGCACCGGCACGTCAAGGTAACGAGTCGACGGACTCCACAGTACGATAAAAGGCAATGCGAGACCTCTTCCTCAACTAGGCACATCCACTGCCACACCATTCCATGATCTTAAGCTCCGAGCCAGCTCGGCAATTGAGATGTTGAGGTCATGTCTTTCACCCTCTACACCCTGTGGGCAATAACTCAGCCACTGAGGTAACCAGCGCAATTCATGGATGGCACGTGAGGGGCAGATCGCGGTGCGGAATTCAGCATCCCTGGGGTCATATTCCCAAAGAGGCTTCACAAAGCGAATCAAACTCTTAGTGGCTCCCCAGCTCGATCGGACGCTAAACAACCGCCCTCGTCCATGGAAAGGAACTTGAGATACGGAGTACTGGCGAAGGGCCGAGCCAATTGTACTGTGGGGGGAGGGCTCATTACTTCATCCTCCACAGTGCCACGCCTTTGCGGAGCTGATTATCACCCAGGACGGGCGCGGCTCAGGCCATGTTGGCATTACGGGGCCTGTTGGTGCGGTTGGCGCACACATCGTATGAGAGAGGGACCGAGGAGGGCCAAGAACAAGGTCAGCGACCTTCCACTTTGATCGGCCCCCAAGTCACATCCCTTGTGTGGGCGGCAGCGGTGCGAGATATCAATTCTCATCGCTAGTCTGCCTCGGGGGCTGGAACAACGGGCTCACCATACTCGCAGCTCGGTCAGGCTGGAACGCTCGCTGGGCATTGGACGCCGGTGGCTGACGATAGACGGGCCCGTCCGTTGCTCAAGGCTCGAGCGACATTCCATGCGGCCTTCTACCACCGCTGATAGCAGCTACATGTTCCACCATGCTCGAATCTCGAAGGCTAAGGGAGGGCTACGTCTGACTTTCCTACGCACTTGCGGGCGTGGCTGCCATGCGTCCACTCCCTGAATCTACGCAGTATCTACAGCCATGTGTCCGGCACCTATCCAGTCAACACCTTTTAGTGATGCATCGGGCGGTCCCTGACATTACAATCTACTCATCGTCTGCAGGTCCAGAGAGGGACCTGCCAGTCTTACGCCAAGGATTTGGAACTGTTGCTGCGCTCAGCGGCGACAGGTTGGCGATACAAAACCATGGGTTTCTTGAATATACCGGCAGCTGTATGGGTAAATCACTCTTTATGAAATTTCCAGAGCAAAGTTCGGATGAACGACCAACGGGCCATTTGTTTGAAACGACTTTCGGAAAGGACTGAGATGCGATGTTGCGTTAAAAAGCTGGCGTCACATCGTGTGCGGACAACAGCTTACTGAGGCATACACTACAAAAAGGCCTCTCCGCTTCGTCTAAGAATAGCCGCGGTATTGCACACCAAAACCCCCAAATCTATGACCGAAATCCTGGAGAGCAGATCCCCAGGCCGGCCGCGATGATACCCCCCGGGCCCTGCACTTCGGAGCCGTTGTCCCCCTTTCTGAGGATGACGTGGGCCCCCATATGTATTCGAGCCATTCCAAGTCCAGCCATCGTTCCGTGGTCCTGATTGAAGGAAATTTTGCTTCCGGCGCTGGTTCCCAAGCTTTCCAACACCAACGGCTGGACTGGGGGGTCACCTGTCAAGACAAGCCCGGCTCACCTGGGGAGTAATCCTAGACATGACACACAGCCGGCCGCTACTTTAGTCCTCGACAGCTACCGACACTGTTCTCCCGCGGGCGACCATGCCTCCATCAAACTTATGGATAGCCGATGTTCCCCGTTTGAGCGCACCGAATGCACCAAAACCACCTACCGCGTGAGCAGAGATCAGATAGCGCAGCAGCCGAACCGCTAGCTTATCCAACGAAACCATGGCCTTGGGAGACCGTCATCCGCCCCTAATGCCCCTGGTGTCATGATATCCGCATACAGATACGGATTCTGTGTAGACACATGAGTGTCCAAGAATGGCCATTTCCATTCATTCGAATATTCGCCCACTACAACTGGAGGGGCTCCAGAGCACTACTTCACAAGTTTTGAGGACACTTCATCCTAGGCCAATAACGATGTTGAAGGTAGGCCGCAGCCGAGAGTCAAATATCCGATGCATCGGGTAGTTCATTTAGAATTGGCAAGCCGGGGTGGCTGGACGCTGAGAGAGGACTGCTACCGTGAACCCTCACGAAGCTCAGTCTACTCTAGCCGTACGTACACTTGCTATGTGCAAGGCGTCAGACTCGAGAGTCGGCCAGTACACTACTCCGTACTGAATAGTCCATAGCGCAAAGCCGCTGAAAAGGGACCCTTCATTCGCTCCGAATGAGCCGGATGTGGCGCTTAGCTCACTCTCTGATGGAAGAGTACGTCGGAGCCCCCGTCTTCGGGATTTGTTCGTTTATCGCATCTAATGCCGACCAACGTCCGCTCAGCGCGTTAGATGGTCTGACCAGCAGCTAGCCTTTGTATAGGTTGTTTGAAACCCAAGGATCCAGCAAGTCTTTCTTCGCGCATCGCTCGCCACGAGGAGCACTACGAGCAGCTGCAGAGACGCCATCACAGCATCCTACGTGCCTACTTTCCTAGCGTTGTTGCTGGTCTGCCGCCCAGCCAGAGGGCCGTCTATCCTCAATTATGGTATGGCGTGCGCCGCCCACGCGGCGATGAGATGGGATGGCTGTCCATGGATCCGTCTACGCCGCACGAGCGACAGCCAGAGACTCAGAGTATGCACGCTCTCGCGTGCTTCTCCTCTGGAACAAACGTACTTGTGCAACTAAGTATTGGTCTGTTACTTATTACCAATTTGTTATCGTCGTATAGTCCATCCGTAAGGCTAACTCGCTGCGGCACTGCGGGCGACGCTTGCCAGGGGTCATCAGTCTAACCTTTCGGGACTTGGGTCTTTACAACATGGCACCACCATGGCAATCTGGACCTGGGCCCTGTCCACGGCAGTCGTTCTTATTGGCATTTGTGCGCCTGGCCAAGGGAACCCCGACGCTGCATCCAACCGTTTGCGGCGCATCAAGAAGGAAAGAAAATTACGGTGCCTGGCCAAAGCTTCCTTCCCCAAGCACGCTCTGGGATGGCCCTGGGCTTCCTGGTCTCTCTGATGCAGATGATGTTGGTGGATTTGAGGCGGGGCCGATGATGGGGACCCCAGTGCCGTTGCGCCGTGGGATGAACGGCCAGAAAGTTTTGGCCCATTGCCAAGATTGGCTATCGGCACTGGACATATTGCCTTGCCATTTCGATGGAGGAGCCGCCTCTTCAGATTTTGCTGCTTTGAAGCCCTTTGACTGGCCCAAACTGCCCATCTTTCCTATGCTATCCATCGACGGCCCGCCACAAGTAAGAGAGGCAACCGCTGGAGAGGGGAAATGATGGTCCTGCCAACACGAACTTTCTCTTTCTTTCCCTTGGCGGATGATCTGTGGTTCTCAAGGGGGGCAGTCGGCCATCGAACCATCCGAGTGGTGGACGCCATGCCTACGGGACGACGGAGCCCAGTCAGCTGCGGCTCCGATATCACTAGTCCCCGTCAATCTGGAGGAGTCTCCGCCTAGCCGACATTTCATGTCTATCATCTATGATGGTCACGTCCTGCGACATAGGCAAGGGAGACATTCGGTGGGAGGACGTCACGCATCTTGGAACAGGACAGCAGAACTGCCTAGGTCCTTCGGTCTCGATTGTGAACGAACTCTCGCCTCGGGCAGACTGGGAGCGATGGACCAACTCCCCCAGTGCTAGGCCTCCTCGGTCAACTCAACAGACCGGCGTTAATACGAGCCACGCAAGCCCAACCATCCTAGGCAGGCCGTTGAGTGAAGGCCAACTCAAAATGAACCTTATGCACCTGTCGCGCCTCTTTGGAAATTTCCCAGCCAACAGGGTAATTTCGTGAAGCCGACGGGCGAATGTTACGCCCGCGTCTGCCTTGCATCGCGATCAACAGCCGCCATGCGGATGGCCTTTCCGACCTGTCGACGCGGACCTTACTGAGCGTCCCAAGTTTACCTACCCTCTCCTTTTGCGGCATTGGACTAGCTCAATGGAAGGAAGGAAGGAAGCGGCAGGAACCTCTCAAGATATCAACGCAACCATTGCAGAAGTTGTCCCCTTCCAATGATATGTCAGTGTGCGCTTCTTAGCCCCGGGAGCCTTGTACACTTTGTACAAGATGGATGGGCTGTTAGCCTGTGGCTGCCAAAGAGGGAACCATGGTGTGTGTGCACCTCGCCGCAACTGTGCAGCACGCGTACATGCAGTAGGCAGTCCTCGAGGGTGCCCTCGACTCCCTATGCTGCAGCCATTCTGTCTCGAGGGTCGAACTCACTCACACAGACAGTGCAAGGGCGATGTGGGCATCGGCTGGCGGAGATGGCATCCCGCATCGCCTGTCGAGCAAAGCGCAGTGGCATGCGGGCGCGTGCCTCTCGGTGTCTGAGCACATCTTTTTCGTCCAGTGGGCCCGATCCGTACAGTTGGGACGCCCTTCGTCCAAGGCGCTGGATGGCCCATCTCGAACAAGCACCTGGCATATGTCCTAGTATATGCCAGGACATATGTTGGAGAGACAGCGCCCCGTCCAAAGGGGGAAGAAGGAGACCGGGCCGCGGAGCACAATCTTTGTGGCAAGCTCGATCGGGACAGGTTACCGAGGCGAGGAGGAATTCGTTCCAAATCTCGTACGTAAAGCTGGGCAGTGGAGGAGCGACTGAGAGGCACAGTTGATTGGGTTTTTGCTCGCTTTCTGACTGGTACGGAACGATTGGGAGATGACTGGTCTCTGCGTCGTTTGCTGTCTTCTTGTCCACGGCGCGAGGGAATCCTTTCCGTGAGATAGATTCCCGAGGAGGGAGGCATATGAATCTCACCGAATGCAGGACGGTGAGCGAAAGTGCCACGCAAATCTGTGAGGCACCACTCCTTCCTTCCTTCCTTTCCTCCTCCCTCCTCAAATCCCATCCCTCTCTGTCTCTGTTTACTATCCTCCTTCTCCGGCAGGCAGGCTGGCAGGTTACTTGGCCCTCCTAGCCGAACGCAGCAGAAGGAGCAGCCCACATACGGGAACGACATACGGATACAGGGAGGGGATGGGGAGGCGGAGGAGGATGAGGGTCAAGGACGATACAGATGGCCCGAATGTAATCTCCCTTTCCCTTTCCATCCCCCCTTCACCGGGTCTGCGGCGCAGGCGTCATGGAACGAAGGATGAAGGAGGCCGCATGTTCGCTGCATCTACCAATCTGCACTGTTGCACGAAGTCCCTCTGGTGTCGTCATTGCTGCTCCTCCTCCTCCTCCTCCTCCTCCTCCTCCTCCCCTCTCTCTGCCACGCTTTACTTCCTTTTTCTCCAGTTCTTCAGTGCGAGATAAGGGACATGGGTGAGTAGAAACGGCGATGGAGTGGTCAGTACGTATATAGACGCACCTACACGTAGTTTGGCGTTCATCTGGAAAGTATGTACCGGCAACTATTAATTGCTCCAACTGTGCTTGCATGTAGTCAATATATTTGACCGTTGAGAGGGATAGGCGTAGGCCCCGGAGACAAACGTACACGTCCATCAACCCCCTCGATGGACTCTGCATGATGTGCCTGTCTCCCCCAGACATGTCTATCTTCCTCCATTTGAGCAAGCCTAGAGAACTAGAAGACGAGGATACCTACGTCCATCCTGTTTCATTTGTAGATCGACCTGAGTGAAGAGATTGGCTACTAAGCCCCTTTCTGTTTTCCCTCCTCGCCCTGCTGCATAGCTGAGGCCGGAAGCAGGTAAGGCAAGCAGGAAGGAACTTCGGGCCTTTTTCTCTGTCTCTCACACACTCTCTCCCCTTCGTTACCTTTCGTTCAAGTACCCGACAGTTTTGTGGCCTTGTTCCTGCTGAGACGAGTAGAATACACACGTCAGTCAAGGAGGAAAGAGGAACGAGATGAACAGAGCGTACACATGTCAATCACCAAAGTTGACGAAAGAAAGGAAACTCGAAAGAAAGTTATGGTCGATGAAGCCAAAAAAGCTATAGACAGGATAGACAGGATAGACGGGACTTCTCGATCTTCCCTTGCCCTCTCACTTTCTTTCCTCAATACTATTCCATTTCCCCTTTGCCCCCTACCCTTTCCGTCCCTTCCCTTCCCTCCCAATCCCAAGCCATTGTGTATGTGTATATTTGTAGTCTTTGTTTTAGTACCAATGAAAAAGCCAACCCGCCCCTCCTGGTGGAAAAACAAAAAAAGGTTTGATTTTTTTTTGTGTGATTTTGTCTAATCCGCTTTCATATCCCATTCCTCCGTCAGTGATGCTGCTACTGCTGCTGCTGCTGTACCCGAATGCTAAATCCACACCTCCCTTTTTTTTTTCTCTCTGTCCTTTTCTGTCTCATTTTACCATTCTTGTTGGTTGTTACCGGAAACGTGAAAACCCCCTCTCCCCTTCTGAACCACCCCCCTGCTCATAGGCATAGAATAGCCGGTGTCAAGGTAGGCAGGCAGACATGGGGAACAAGGTTGATGCAAAGTGTTTGGGAAAAAAAGAAGCAGAAAAAATCAGCCCACCCAGCGTCTGGCGCTCTTGAACATCCTGACCCACGGGCCGAACTCTCCCCAACCCTCGACCTGCTCCGTGGGGACGTAGCTGCCGACGTCCGCCATGATGGTCCGCTCGGGATGGGGCATGAGGGCAAAGACCCTGCCGTCCCTGCTCCTGACGCCAGCCACGCCGCCAGGGCTGCCATTCGGGTTGTACGGGTAGGCTTCCGGCTCCGCGACCTTGAGGCGGTTGTCGACGTAGCGGAGAGGCACGAGGCCCTCGCCGCTCAGGTCCTCGAGGGCGTTGGGGTTGGAGAAGGAGGCGCGACCCTCGCCGTGGGAGACGGCGATGGGGAAGGACGAGCCGTCCATGCCGTGGAGGAAGACGGAGGGCGTGGCGGCGCGGGACTCGTCAATCTTGACCATGGCGAAGCGCGCCTCGAACTGCCTGCTGGCGTTCTCGACGAACGTGGGCCAGTTCTCGGTACCCGGGATCAACTCCTTGAGACGGGTAATCATCTGGCAGCCGTTGCAGACGCCCAGGGCGAAGGTGTCGGGTCTCTTGAAGAAGTTTTCAAACTCCTGGCGGGCGTGCTTATGCTCGAGGATGGACTGGGCCCAACCAACGCCGGCGCCAAAGACGTCGCCGTAGGAGAAGCCACCGCCGGCCGCAACACCGACAAAGTCGGCGAGTGAGCGGCCTGCGAGGACGTCGGACATGTGAACATCGATGGGGTCAAATCCGGCGGCCTTGAAGGCAAAGGCCATCTCCTTGTGACTGTTGACGCCGACCTCACGCAGGATGGCGACGCGAGGTGCCTTGCGGAGGAGGCTGCCGAGGGAGGCCGTCAGGGGCATGATGTTCTCTGACGGAGAGAAGGTAAGGTTGTACGACAGACCGGGGTCGGCCGAGTCGGAGACGATGGCGTACTCGCTATCTGCGCACGCCGGGTTGTCTCTCTCCCTCTGCATGGCGTACGACGTCCTCGACCACCACTGTTGCATCTCGGCGCGGTCAAGGCTGACGATGGGGGTGTGGCCGCCGTAGCGGATGTTGAGGGTCTGGTTGCCCTTGGGCTGGACGACACCGAACGTGCGGACGAGGCCGGGAGGAGGACCGCAAGTGGCGAAGCAGCGCTTGAAGTTGGTCTCGTCCTCCTTGCGGACCTGGAAGACGGCCCCGAGCTCCTCGTGGAAGAGGGCCTCGAGAATGTCGTTGGGGGAGCCGGACTTGGCGATGCCGTCGAGCATGAGGTCGGCGCCGCAACGGCCGGCGAACATCATCTCGGCGACGGTGGTCAGGAGACCGCCGTCCGAGACGTCGTGGTAGGCGAGAACGACGCCGCTCTTGTGTAGTTGCTGCAGAGCATCAAAGTAGTCCGTAATGAGATCCACGTTGCGCACGTCCGGTGCCTCGTTGCCCATCTGTCCCAATGATTGCGCCAGGGCGGAGCCGCCCATGGCCTTCTTGGCCTCGGCGAGGTCGACGTAGATAAGAATCGTCTCACCGACGTCTTCGACGCGGCGCAGCTGAGGGGTCCATGTGTTGCGGACGTCCTCGACGACGGTGACGGCCGTGATGATGACGGACATGGGTGCTGTGACGCTCTTTGCCTCGCCAGACTCGCGGTCCTTCCACGATGCTTTCATGGAGGTAGAGTCCTTGCCGACGGGGATAGAGATCTTGAGCTGAGGGCACAGCTCCATACCAATGGCTTGGACGGCCTCATAGAGACCGGCACCTTCGCCAGGGTGGTTGACGGCGGCCATCCAGTTGGCTGACAGCTTCACACGGTCGAGGCGGCCCAGGATGTCAGCAGCGCCGAGGTTGAGCAGACTCTCGGCGACGGCCATGCGAGCCGACGCTGCGGGAGAAATGAGAGCCAACTGGGGCTTTTCGCCCATGGCCATGACTTCACCAGTGCGAGTCTTAGAGTCAAGACTGAATGAGGTTGCCGTGACGGCGCAGTCGGCGACGGGAGTCTGCCAGGGACCGACCATCTGGTCACGGATGGACAGACCTCCGACGGTTCTGTCACCAATCGTGATGAGGAATGACTTGGAGCCGACGGCGGGCATGCGGAACACGCGCTCAGTGGCGGCGGTGATGAGGCCGGCGGTGTTGGTGGCCTCAGCGGCACCGGCGGCAGCGAGGGCCTCAGCAGCGTTGAATGCGGGGAGGTCCAATCTGCGGGACTCGACGACACGCTCAAGACGGCGGCCGGGAGGGAAGAGGGCGTTGAAAGGCAGGTCAATGGGCATCGGCTGCTCGGGTGAGTCGCGGTCACTGAGAGTCAACTTGGCGTTGCCTTGTGCGTCCTGGGCGGCAACGGTTCCCACGTCGGAAAAGGGGCATCGCTCACGACCTGGAGTGCGGATTAGCATGATACAACAGCTGTGCAGACATGGTAGAGAGGGACTCACGGCAGATGCTGACGAAACGGTTAATATTCTCCTTATTGACGAGCAGGACGTAACGCTCCTGGGCCTCATTGCACCAAATTTGCAAGGGGCTCAAGCTGCTGTCCGCGCTGTGAACCTGACGCAGCTCGAACTTGCCGCCGAAGCCAGCATCCTTGACGAGCTCGGGGAGAGCGTTGGACAGACCACCAGCACCGACATCGTGGATCATGGCAATGGGGTTCTGGTCGCCGAGAGCGGCGCAGGTGTCGATGACCATTTGGGCGCGGCGCTCCATCTCAGGGTTGCCGCGCTGGACACTGGCGAAGTCGAGCTCGGCAGTGGCCTCGCTGGAGTCGTTGGAGGAGGCAGCTCCTCCACCGAGACCGATGAGCATAGCAGGACCGCCGAGAACGATGGCATGGGCACCGTCGTGGACGTCACCGAGCTCCTTGAGGGCGTGTTGAGGACGGACTGTTCCAACACCACCAGCAATCATGATAGGCTTGTGGTATCCGCGCCACTCTGGGGACTCCTCCTTGCCGACGTTGGTCAGGAGAGTGCGGAAGCAGCCGAGAAGGCAAGGTCTTCCGAACTCGTTGTTGAAGCGAGCGCTACCGATAGGGGCCTCGAGCATGATATCGAGACTGCTAGCGAAATGAGCGGGCTTACCCAGATCAACCTCCCAAGGGGCCTTCTCGTCCGGGATCAACAGGTCAGAGACCCAGAAACCACAGAGACCGGCCTTGGGAGCAGAGCCTCTGCCGACGGCACCTTCATCACGAATCTCACCTCCGGCACCAGTGGCGGCACCAGGGAAAGGTGAAATAGCGGTGGGGTGGTTGTGTGTCTCAACCTTGACGAGGACGTGGACGACCTCCTTGGTGAGCTTCCAGCTGCCGGTGGAGTAATCGGGGGCCCAGAAGCTGGCAGTCTCACCCTGGAGAACGGCGGCGTTGTCGCTGTAGGCGGAGACTGTGTACTCGGGGTTGGACTTGTGGGTGTTCTTGATCATCTCGAAGAGACTCTTGCCCATGCGCTGCTGATCAATGGTCCAGTTGGCGTTGAACTGCTTGTGGCGGCAGTGCTCCGAGTTGACCTGAGCGAACATGAAAAGCTCCACATCGTGGGGGTTGCGTCCAAGGTTCTTGAAGACCTGGACGAGGTACTCAATCTCAGAGTCGTCGAGAGCCAGGCCGAATTGCTTGTTGTACGACTTGAGAGTCTCAACAGCCTTTGCGGCATCGGCGTTCTGAACATCGTCACCCAGAATGTCGACAATCTCCAATGGGAATCGCTGGCCCTCAATAAACATGGCGGAAAGATCGGGGCGCGACAGGCCAATTGTCTCAGTCATACGGTCGTAGACGACATCCTTGAAGGCGATCTCATCTTCAGAGACGGGGTTCTCAAAGGTGAGGGTGATGGCCCTGCCGCGCTCGATACGGTCGATGTTGTCTGCGAGACCGCAGACGTGAGTGATGCTGGTTCCCTTTGAAGACCAAGGCGAGATGTTCCGCGGGGTAATGTAGTAAGTTTTCTGGATATCAGTGTTGGCGGCAATCTGAGCGATTGTCTGGTCGGGCAGGCCGAGCCATTTTGTCAGCTTTTGCTGGACAATGAGGTTGTTGTCACTGTTCTTGAGGTGAACGTAGTAGACCCAGATGCCGGCAACGCTGACGACCTTGTTTGACGCAGCGTCGAGCTTGTTGATGCGCGTCTTGAGCTCTTCGGCCTGCTTGGTGGTGTAGGCCTCCTGGCCAACGAGGGTGAGAAACTCCATTCTGCCTACAGTGGGCGTAGGACACGGAGAGCGGCCTTCGATCAAAAAGGAAGTCTCGCCCGGCGTTCGTGGATGTCGGGTTGGCGATAGAGATAAGTTTTTAGGCGGCGGCATCTTGTGAGTCTTCCGCTCCGAGATGGCGGGGTGATTTTGAAATTTTGGTGGGGCAGCTGCAGATAGGCGGCCGATAATGAAAATCGGAGGCGTTGGTGACTTTTTTTTTTCTCTCGTCGACTGGAGGCGCGGGGCACTAGACTTATTTTGTGGCGGTGGAGTGGCTCTCCCGCATTTTGCGCATTCACCGCGACAAATGTCACTGTCACTGCCTTCAAACTACAAATGTTGCTGCTTGACGAGGTCCACGTCCGGGAGTCAGGGGCGCATGAATCGTGGCTGGTGACCTCTTTCTATTGTGTACTCGTACCCACATAGGTAGGCCCTCCTCACTGTTGAAGTGGTGAGTGTGCCCGCTGTCGGAGCCTTTGTGTCTTCCAGGTTCCAAGTTGTTGCTATGTATGTGGCTAGTGCGTCGGTCTGGGTGTGGCTGGTGGGGTCAAGCGGAAAGAGGCGGCCCAAAATAAATCCAGACAGACACAGATGGGAGAAGAGGTCGGTGAGGACGAACAAGAACTATCCCAGAGACGTCGTGACTAGTGCTTCACTTCTTCGACTCTCGAGACCCATCACTGGTCGGAGCATGTGTCGAATCATGGGTCGACTTGGGATGCATGACCGAGGGCCAACCCGAGCACAGCGAGGAAGCCAGTCGTTCATGCTCAGGCCTGCCATCGCAAAATTTCCATCCGATGATGCCGAACTCAGGTCCATCACAATCTGCAACAGTACTCAGGTCTACCAAGACTTGTGGCAGCAAGGACAAATCTAGCGTGCCCGTCCTGTCGTAGCGCAATAGATCATCAGGTTTGGTAGGCACGAAGGTGTATCCGTAAGGTAAGGTTGTTCAGAACTTCAGGTCGAGCGTGACCTTTCCACTGCGAGTCCCGCTGTAAGATCGCCCAAACTTTCGGGACGCCGGGACCCTCCCACCTCTCCGTGCGACTAAATGGCCGTCAGCTGGCGGCACTTCATCACTTTCCTGCTCTTCCGCCCGCGTCCTCCACTCCCGCCCAGGTGCTGAACCCTGTCACTGCCACTCAGGCTCTACCTTCTCAGGTACGGAGCATTGGATTGCCGTAGAGAAAAGGGCACTCGGGACATTTGGCAAGAGGTCAAAGGCGACGTCAGCAAAAAAAACAAGCAATTCGCTTCACTGGTGGGAACACTGGAAAGCCCATACCTATCTTAGCTTCCGGACTGATTGGCTCCCCTTATAGCAATACCCATCTTCCATTCTCCAATTTCTTAGATCGGCCTCGACAACTCTGCGATTGCCCGCCCGCCGCGCTCCGCTTCGTCACTTCTTTTCCTTTTGACGCGTCCGTCGATTCTTGGGACGACTTGGTCCGGTTCCCCTTTCCTGCCAACCTCATCCAACTTGTCTTGTGCTCCTGACTTTGCTCCATTTCGCTCCAACATCTTGCGCGCCGCAGCATTCGCATCCTCAACCGCCGCAATCATGCGCTGGTTAACGTCCTTTGCGGGCTATCTAGCCCCCATCTTCCTCATCATGTCGCCAGTTCTCTCCTATAGCGACCAAGCCCTGTCGATGCACAAGAACAAGTCCAGCGCAGGCTTCTCTCTCGACATCCCGCTGATTATGCTGGTAGCCTCTCTGTTGAAGTACGTGGAGCGTATCTGCCCCGTCTCTTCCCAAGTAAGCTGACACAATTCGCATTCACGCAGGATCTTCTACTGGCCCGGCGCGCGATTCGATACTGCCTTGCTCATTCAGGCCCTCCTCATGATTGTTATGCAAGTCATCTTGCTCAAGATTGCTCTGGACCACCGCTTGCCGCCATCGGCCAAAGGAGGAGAGGCCGCGACGCCGTTCGCCAACGTCAACGACGGTCCTGTGTTCGGCGCACAAAGGCCCTACCACTTCTGGCAGTGGAGGTCACCCAAGCCGTGAGTCTCTCGCCTTGCGCAGCGCATCCTGTGCTACGACTGACAGCTGCCATAGGTACTGGCAATTCCTCCTCTATCTCTTCATCGGCTTGACCGTCTGCGAACTGCTCCTCGCGCCCGTGCGACCCGTATACCAAACCTACTCGATGCTCATCGGCTACATTGGTCTCTCGGTCGAGGCGACGCTGCCCCTGCCCCAGATCTTCTCCAACTCGCGGTCCAAGTCTTGCAAGGGCTTCCGCTTCTCCGTGCTGGCGAGCTGGCTGATTGGTGACGCTATGAAGATGTTCTGGTTCTTCACGTCGACGACGGAGATCCCCTGGGCTTTTAAGCTGTGCGGCATGTTCCAGGCTGGATGCGACTCGTTCCTCGGTGTCCAGTATCTCATGTACGGAGATGGCGAGAAGGGTGAGATCAAGGAGCACCCCATGTCCCAGTATCCTCAGTACCCTAACGGGGTCTACAAGCCTCCTTTGCCCGAGCACGTCAGTGGCAGGTCCAGTCCGGCCGGCCGAAGAACCTCTAGCCCCTTTGGCAAGGAATTACGATAAATCGCAGCCATCTCGATTGCCTGCTCTTCCAATGTAAGATGGTTATTTGGGTTCACGATCTACCGATATGTACGGAGACGTCCCGCATAGCAGCGGTGTAAATTCTGCAAAATGTTGTAAAAAGATATGGGAGACATAGCTTAGACAGGGGGTAGAAAAGGAGTTTCAGGGGCCAACAACCTAGGGCCAATGGTAATTGCCGTGGGACTGCAGGGGTCTGATGAGCGAACGAGAGCTCAATCTTCTCTAGATGGTGGCCAACGTCGTTATCTAGCGTTAGTGAGTACTTTACCGGCTGGTTTTCAAGACGGCGTTTGGCATCACGAATGGCGTAGGAAATGTTGTCCTGGGTGACGCACATTCATCTGGATACCCAAATCTTTAAATACATGCTTCATAATTTTATTTGCATTCATTTTGGCTTGCTGAACAAGTAGTAAACCTGGCGACCAAGTCGTTTCTTAACTGGGCCTCACCAAACATCGCCCACACCCAGGAGTTGCAAAGGCTCCCAACCACCCACTTTTCGAGTTGGCCACCCAACTGACGACTGCCGTACCACAGCATTATCGTCAAATCCAATCTGAAGACGATTGACAACTCGAAGAGCTGAAGTCCAACATTGATCCTTCTAAACAACCAAACAAAGAAACGCTCACTTCTAATCTTATTTTCATTTTCTCACCCTTTCAATTTCAATATACCACGCCATATCGCCAGTTCTATTGTCTGCCTTATATTCTATCCCACTGTTTACTCCTTCACCCGGCCAACCAGCAGCGAATTTCCTGAATCGTCGAAGCAGTTCTCCGGACACCAAGATCGACGATAGAGCAATCCACAACTCGATATATCGGTTTTGAAAAGGAACTTGGGGCTTTGTCGGATGGTCTATCAACTTGCATTCTAAGCTAGTCTAAGGAGCTCCGTCGCCGCGCCTCGCGCATCAGCAGCATTCATCCCAGTTCGGTTTCTGGTCTAGTACTTGGGTGTTCCTTGTACTGCGCGAAGAGCAGTCAGACTTGAGATCTGATAGAGGACATTCTACGTCAAGATCTGGCTGCTTCGCGGCTCATTATCCGGGTGGACAAAGAGCCCGGCTGGTCTGCGCCAGGCTGGAGAGTTGGACGGGCCTTTACTCAAGGTAAGCAAGTGCAGTGTATTCCCTACTGTCCAGAAATTGCCAAGAGACGAGTGCTCTAGATTAGATGTCGTACTCCCGTTTTGGATTCTTACCAGTCCATTTGATGGACTTTCGCTTCATTGAAAGTTGCGAGAAGTAGTATGATGGCCTGGCTTTGGATTCTGCTTCATGCCGGCGCTGGTCTTGAAGCCTGCTTTCCCGGTTTCCGTCTTAGACACACGTCAGTCATGGAAGGAGAACAGAGGACTTGGGACAGCTTCACCAAGAAGTGCTTCGCTTCTCGTATGACGCTATTGTCGTTCCCTACACAGAAGCATCATCTTCTTCTCCCTCTATCCCACGCATTGCTATTGCCTACAGCAGCACTATTTACCAACCTCCTTCATGCATTCCTTCCTGTGAGCTGCATTTGGTCTCGCAGGACTTACACTCAGACAAGATCCATCTCTTTCACCTTCCTTGACTTTCAGTCTCACATATTACAATACGCTTTGGCTGACTGGCTGACCTGTTTAGCCCGAATCCCGCCTTGACTACCTTGCTCGGTAGACACGCAACTGCGGAACCTCCTTCCTCGTGTAAGTCAATACGCTTGAGCCGCTCTTTCCCCATTGGGTTCGTCACCGTCTTCCCGAACTTCAGAGCAGCACGTCCTTTCATGAGCGCAACCTCACTCTTCTTCCCTTGCCTCACTTTAACTCATCTATTCACACTCTCTCCTCTTCACCTCACACTCGGTGCCAAGAGCTGACATCTACACACACTTCAGAGGCATACGGCAAGCTGCCTATCACAGTTTTCGAGAGACTAGATCAAATAGCCGTCGTGCTCAGTAAGTTTACCAATTTATCACTTGAGATTCCTCTCTGTTATCAATCTTTGGAAAAAGTGCAGAGAAATTGTCGCCTGCCGCAATTGCCTGTCCACCTTTTCTTACCACTCCACCTTCCTTCTTTCCATCTGAGCTCCTCCTCCTTCCCACACTCACCCACCTCCGCACTACCTACCTCACTTTATCCCTCGACACGTACCGGGCTTCTACCTTCTACACCACAACACAACACTCTCAAGATCCACCCAGACCTAATCCTTCCATCTTAGGTCACTCACAAACAGAAAGCCCGCCATCACCAACAGGTATATATTCACTAGGTCGTCACTGATCACCTTTTCCACTACGCTGTATCCCTTTCTCTTCTCTCTGTGACCCTTCCGTCGACCAAATACTAATCCGCCGATTCTATAGATCACAGATGAAGATGGCTCCTGCCAACTTCAAGACCTACGAGTCTCAGGCTCGACTGCTTCGCGCCATCGTGGCCGCTCACTCCGATGTCAAATGGAACTACAAGGGTAAGAAATACGCCTGCTTCCTCTCTTGCCGTTCAGCCCAATCTTCTTTTTTCGTCTGTATCAATTTTTCTTCTGCATTTCTCCATGGTCGACGTCATTTCTGACGTACGGCAGACATCCAGAAGTTCTACGGTTCGGATATGACCAAGGACGCTCTCAACCATCGGTTCAGAGCCCTCAAAAACCAAGGATATGTGCTTCGGGAAGCCGATGAGCAGGGTGTGGATTGCAAGGCCATC